TTTAAACCAGTAGTAATGGAAATAACATTTTCCCCCCTACCTCATATATTTTTATTTTAAAAATATGATCCTAAAAATAGGAAGTTTGTAATCAATATTTTAGGAAATACAGATGCATACAAGGAAAAAGAAAAAAAAAGTATTTCCACTACTAATAATGTTTAGAAGTATTTTGTTTCCCAAATGTTTCCCAGTGTCTTAATGTGGAATTGTGTATTGATGTAACATGATTCAAATCCATTTGTTGGTGACCCAAGTGAAGTTGCTCTGTTCATTTGCTTATAGCAAAGACAAGAAAAAAGTTGTTTTAGTTATAGAGTTGTACACTTGAAAACTTGTGGTTTTAGCAATGTCACCTCAATAAATTCAATTTTAAAAAAAAGAGAGGAAAAAAGTTGTTTGGATATAAGAATGAAGGAAGCTGTGTGAGGGCATCATCCTCTCATGTCTGTTGTTAGCTGATACATACTCAGAGGCCCAGGTGAGGACGTACCCTGCGGGGGGCTTACCAACAAAAAAGCATGGAGAAGCAGCTATGTCCAGGGGACATTTAGATGCTAAGTTTATGAGGAAATTTTTAGAGTGTTCGGTCTGGATAAGGTGTACTTTGCTTGCTTAATAGCTCTCTGAAGACCTTTGGGGCATTAGGTCCTGCTGTGCTAAAGACCATTCTTTTCTTGGCAGCAAGAAGACTGAGAAGTGGTTCTGTGAAGAGACTTCTGGGTTTTTTCTGTTTGTTTTTTGCACTGGCAGCTGGAAGTCAGTTGTGGCTGTATGAAAAGGGACACCTTTGCCCAGCCGGCGTGGCTCAATGATTGAATGTTGACCTACGGTTAGATTCCTGGTCAGGGCACATGTCTGGGTTGTGGGCTCTATCCCCAGTGTGGGGTATGCAGGAGGCAGCCAATCAATGATTCTCTCTCATCATTGATGTTTCTATCTGTCTATCCCTCTCCCTTCTTCTCTGAAATATATATATATATATTTAAAAACAGGGCCCCTTAACTACATTTTTGACTTTATTCTTTTCCTCTCCTGGAACAGTAAGTGTAAATAATCTATCAATACTTTGGAGTATGTTGTTTCTTTGTCTTATCTGTATGCTGTTGGTTTGTGAAATTCTTGCGGTGGACCTGAGTTAAATAAATTGCTGGCAAAGGCAAACTCAGTCACTAAGCATAATTTGCCACCCCAAAACAAAACAGGAATTTAAAAAAATACATGGGATGATGTTCTATACACACTTTCGTAGGTTCTTTGAGACCTGTTCTTTTCTAAGTGCCTTCTTGGATGTCTACATGTTTCACTGAGCTCTTTGAAAACCTGATCCTTGTTCCAGAGATAGACTTGGATCCATAAAGAATGCAGCTGTGTCCTAGATATGCCAACACACCTTTCCCTAGAACTGTGAGGTGCTTCTTGAAAATAATAGTGTTTGCCTACTGGTTTGTGAAGGTTAAGACATTAGAAATGAACAAGTATGAAACATAAACTTTACTGCATATTTTAGGAGGGATGGTTGAAGGAAGGAAAGTTTCAGAAAGTTTATTAAGTAGTGAGGACAGAGTCCTGGAGAGATGGCTCAAAGCCACTGTCAGCAGGTAGCGAAGAGACCGCATTAACTGGTTGAGAGGACTTCATCTCTCTTCTGTTTAGACAAGAACAGAATTTCAGGTGATCGTGCTCAGGAGCCACCGGCATTGGTTGGTTCTCTCAGTTGGGTTTAAGTACAGTGTGAATGAAGGTAAGCTCTTGATTTGGGATCCAGGTAGGCCAGTTAGCCTTATAGAGACAAACAAATGAAATAAAACAAAACATCCTTCCCCTCTTCTCCCCTGTTTGGCTGCAAACGTTTCTGCCCTGATGAGGTCAGTCATATCATTTCGTTTTCCTTTTGAATTGTAGCTAAAGAAATGAAAAAGGGATCACATTGACAGCAAAGAGAAAATCACTTTATGTAGTGGGTAGCCAATGTGCTGTGAGGTTAGATTCTTAAATATTGTGATTGGTGGGAATCTTTAAATTATTTTTTTATAAGGTTGAATGATTTTATTACCACCAATAACCCTTGTGGCTCTGAAAGCTAAAATAATCTGGGTAATCAAAATTTATGCTTTAGGATGGAGGATGATTCTATGCAGACGAGAGGGAGGGAATTCCTCTTTCTCCAGTCCTCTGTGGGAACTACACTGTGGATGAATAACTGCCTGGAGCTTGGGTCTAACTTTCTGTGGTGGAGGTGGGGTGCCTCTGAAAGAACACATTTTGGTTGCTATAGGCAATAACCTAGGCAAGCGACTGAATAATCTGAAACTCTTTACTCAGAGAAAAAGGACCACTTGCAGGGACCACAAAGGAGGGGAAGGCTGATCTCAATATGTTTGCCTTCGTCTTTGAGGGATGTGGTTCTTTAACTGAGTTTTATTTTTTTGTAAGTTTATTTTAAATTAAGATGGCTCTTTATGATGGAGATTATATCTGTTTCACTATACAAGAGTCCTACCATTTTTGAAAGTTCCCTTTCCCCATGTTCATTAAGATGATTGGTTTGGGGTGCTTTAAATCAGGAGCTGGGAAGAACAGGATTAAAAAATTCGCTAGGTTTAATCTAGTTTGGGAAGTCAGGATTTTTTGGGAAGACAGGAGGGATGGTTGAAGGAAGGAAAGTTTCCATGCAAATGTGAATGGATTCTATTTGTGGATTTCTGTCTAAATAGTTAAAATGAAATTATTCAGAACAGAGGTAACAGACTCTAAATATATAAATTTCCTCCATAATGTTTGGTAGAAGAAATGCAGCTTACTTATTTTCTTTTAAATCTGATTAAATCTGATTCAGAACCCCTAAACATGAAGATGGTAAGAAACCTAAACTCATTAAATTATTACCCATATTCCCATAATGGACTTGTGTTTCATTGGTTTTACATAGTTTAAAAGTAATCTCAAAAATATTTGTGCATGTAGTGTTCTATTAATATATATATATATATATATATATATATATATATATTAGTTAAAACACACAAAAATAGAAATACAAAGATATATAATAAATATTTTAAGTATTTTAATACAAACATTAATGGACTAAACCTTTGTCATTATTTAAAATGATCAGTGAACAAAACTTGATTGAGTATGCATTATAGTTTTGAAAATCTTGGTTGTATCAGTGATTCAAACATTGGGTCATAAATCAAGTTTATTTCCATACCTTCTTTTAATGAAAACAAAGCTAAAAAGATACCTAATAAAGATAAGTAAAGACAGATGGGTGAAGTGCAAACTTGATTCCATTTGTGAGACTATAACCTTTTTTTCACATTTAGTAATAGAAAGGTTTTGTTGAAATTTACCTGGTACATTTCCATGTTCTATGATGTCAGCTAGTGGTTCTTATACATCTACACAAAGTCATCCTTTGTTACATTTTTACTAAAGGTTCAAATCCAGTGAAACGCTTTGTGTAGACAATTTTAGAACAGTCTAGAAAATTGTGTCTAAATTTTTAAAGCATAAGCTATGAAGCTTCTTTTTATTTAATTTCTTTTTTTTTTTTAAATTAAATGCAAATTTTATTAAGGTCTTCCAATTACATATCTCAAATTTCTTGAATGGAATAGAATCTTTTGGAACTGGAAAGATGGCAGAGATGAACACTGATATCCCTTGAAACCCCAACTTTATTAATAGAGAGCAATTCCTCTGCAAATCACATTGCCCTTATATAACAAGATGAAATAGTATCTTCTCCCTCACTTTGGCAATAGCTATTTCCTAATGAAAAAAAAGAATATAGTGGTTTTGCTACTTAAAGTTCATATAAAAATGAGAACCTATCTTTAGGTTAACATTTTTAAAGTTCAGATGTGTTCAAATGAGCTATGGGTACAAAAATACATTAGCACAGAAGTCTAATCAAAGCAACCAAAATCATTTTGAAAATGAAGAGGAAAAACATCAGGTGTTTTCATGGCATTCCCCCCCCCCCCCCCAACATAAACTATTGCAATTGGTTGAGGATTTCCAGCAGTTAATTCAAATCTCAGGAGTGAAAAAGATAGTACTATACAAATAACAAAATGTATTCATTCACATTCTAAGACCATAATACTAAATTTTCAAAATGGAAGCTCTATCATTTCTAAAAATGAACCTAATGTTATTTTATTACAAGCAGAAACTCCAAGCTGTTTTCCAATTACAATCCAATTAGTCCACCCTCACTGCCAAAACTTTCTTTTAAGTTCACCAGAAAAAATCAACAGTAATTAGCCTGAGGTATTTTAAATGTGGCTCTACAGTATCAAATTTAATGGGATTCCCCCAACCCCCTTAAAAACGGTCTTACTTCTATTTTAGAACCATGATCTCTATGGTCATAACAAAAATACCTAAAAACGATCCTTGGACCTTTGAAAATAGTTGGTTATCCATCCACTTTTATTAAATAAGGAGCCACTAAAAGAGCACTGCCTGACCAGATCCAGAGTAAAGTACTTGACTTTTGTTTTCTGGTTTATTTAGCAAACTGTGGTAGACTAAAAGGCTGAATATCATACTTGTGGTGCAAAAAGTTCCAAATTTTTAAGCTTTCAATAGGTTGAGAATTATTTCATATATAATTTAAGTTAATATGTCTAACACATGTGAGGTAGTTAAGTAAACAGTACTACCCATTTTAATACATAGTAAACAGAAGCATGGGTAAACAACATACTCATACTTTAAACAGTAAGAATTGGAATTCATCAGAGGCTTGAGGCCTTCTCTCATTCTAACCAAAGGAAATAAAACTTAACTTACTCTTTAAAAAAAAATTACACCATTTGTCTTTTTTTTAATACTTTCTTATTAAATGTAGTACACCTTGTCCAGAGTTGGCACCCTTTTCTTCAATATAATAGTAAACTGGGCACAATACTTAATTCAAGCTAAGGCTTCACTTCTGCCTGAATTAGTACAAAATTGTAAGACATTATTTTGTGAGAACTAAAATTATATTTGACATTTTTATTTTAGGCTACAAACAAGCAAACAAAGAAACAACAAAAAACTTGAAATGAACTTGTCAAATGATGAAAATTCATCCTTTCCAGGGAAGCAGAAGGTAGACCAGTGCAGGTTATCCTCAAGGCCATACATCCTGCTTCACTGCTGCTTGCACTCTGCTGGGTTTTGATCCTTCTTTGAGTCATAGTCTGGATCATTTTCCTCATCTTCTTCTTCCCCTTCCTCATCCGCTTCTTCACCTTCTTCATCATAATCATCATCATCATCTTCAATGGCTTCTCCAGTAAAGTACAACACTGATCTTGGGATTATACGCTCACGTAAAAAGTGACCAATTTCAAAGTCTGCAGCAAGGATAGCTTCAGCGTCATCATCCAGATCTCCACTCTCAGGAACTTCAGGAGGGGCAAAAAAATTAAAGAACGAGTCATTAGAAACTGTTTTGGTCACAGTACGAACTGTCCCACGTCCCTTGTGTTTTTGTTTCTTTTTAATGGTTTTCAAAGTGACATTCTTCCCTTTTTTCCAATCTATCTGGCACCCTGTACAACCCATAATTTCTGGTCCATCAAAAGAAAAGGGATCAGAATCATCTGGTTCTGACCTCATTCTGTATGTTTTTGTCAACACTTCATTTGTGAAATATTCATTGGGTTCAAAGTGAAATTCTAAAACAAAACTCATAGGCTGGCCAGCATCTGAGAACTTCACTTTAATATCTTTCAAGTGCTTCAGAATAGGTTCATCATGTTCCTGAACCATATCACTGAGCAAGTCAACATTCTTAAAAACAGTCAACCAAAATTCAGGAATTCCCTTGGGGTCTTGTTTTTCTTCATCCTTTTTCTCATCTTCAATTTTGACCTTTTCTTTCAGCTCCTCCGAAATGTCATCTTCCTCATCTGGTTTCCATTCACATTCTTCTTCCGTAGGTTCATAAATTGCATTAATGATCTCAAATCGCTTATCAAATAAAGGTTGATAGAGAACAGCATACTTTCTTTCAAGATCATGAACTTCCTCATAGAATTTGGCTTCTATCTGTGCACATTTAACTTGAAGGTTTTTGAGAGCATTCACTCGTATTTTAACTACCTTAGGCAAGCTTTCAATGTATCCTGTTGGTGTTTCTACCAGACCATCAAGTCTTTCTTGGAGGGCTGCAAGAATCTGAGGATTTTGCATCATCTGAACAGTCAGCTGACGCGCTTTGATTTTTGTTTCTTCACCAGTTTCTTCTTCTTCTATTTCTTCAACATCATCCAAATCTTGATCAAGTTCAGACTGTTCTTTGTTGTCAATGTCTGCCATGTTGTTAAGAACTCCAAATATCGATGGCGAGCACGGGGCGCCCGGCGGCCGGAGCTGCGCAGTCCGTGACTCAGGGCAGCGGCGGGAGGAGCAGGAGGCGGCGCTGCGAGCAGATGGCGCTAAAAACTTTATTTAATTTCTTGAGAATGTTTGTTAAATCTAGGTTCCATGTGTGTGGAGGTGAGGAGATGGAAGCCTGTGAGGTGCACATGAGTTTGAGGAAGGCTCACTTCCCCCACAATCATCTCCACCAGAAAGCCCAGAGTGTAGAGTGAGTCAGATTTGTGTTTGAATACAGACTCTACTGTTTACTAGGGGAGCAACCTTAACACAGGATTAAGCTGCTTGAAACTCAGTTTCTTCTTCCATAAAATAGGCATAAAAGTCTTATGTTTCAGAACTGGTATGAGGACTGAGATAGTGACTGTAAACTGCTTAGCTCACTACCTAGCCTATCTAATAATAGACAAACATGGTAATTAACCATACCTCTGCTACGCTTCCCATTAGCTAATCAGAGTGATATGCAAATTAACTGCCAACAAAGATGGCGGCCGGCAGCCACGCAGCTGAAGCGAACATGAGGCTTGCTTGCTCCAGTGATGGAGGAAGCCAAGGTTCCCCGCCTACTGCGGCCCAGCTCTGAGCTCTAGGTGCAACAATGTTGCAATTATAGAAGCTAAACAAACCCCAGGTACCTGATTTCAGCCAGCCATGGCCTCAGAGCTGGAGCCGGCTCTCAGCTCCAGTGACAGCTATAGAAGGTAAATAAATCCCAGAATAAAAAAAGAAAAAAAAAAAAAAAAAGGCTGGGAGCTTCAGTGGCCCGCCAGCCTGAAAATGGCCCTCAGCCTCTCACCCAGACTGGCCAGGCACCCCAGTGGGGACCCCCACCCTAAACGGGGTGTGACCAGCTGCAAGAAGCCATCAGCCCCTCACCCAGGCTGGCCAGGCACCCAAGTGGGACCCCCACCCTGATCCGGGACACCCTTCAGAGCAAACCAGCCGGCAGCCGGCCCCCTTCCGTGCACCAGGCCTCTATCCTATATAGTAAAAGGGTAATATGTGAACTGACCCTAATAGCAGAAAGACTGGAAATGACTGGTCACTATGACACACACTGACCACCAGGGGGTAGACGCTCAATGCAGGAGCTGCCCTCTGGTGGTCAGGGCACTCTCACATGGGGAGCTCTGCTCAGCCACAAGCCAGGCTGACAGCTGCCAGTACAGCGGTGGTAGTGGGAGCCTCTCCTGCCTCCTCAGCAGCACTAAGGATGTCTGACTGCAGCTTAGATCTGCTCCCCGCTAGCAAGTGGACATCCCCCAAGGGCTGCCGGGCTGCCAGAGGGATGTCTGATTGCCATCTTAGGCCCAATCCCCTGGGGAGTAGGCCTAAGCCAGCAAGTGGTCACCCCTGAGAGGTCCCAGACTGCGAAAGGGCACAGGCCGGGCTGAAGGACCCCTACCCCTGAGTGCACAAAAATTTGTGCACTGGGCCTCTAGTATGTTTAATAATTGTAACTTGTTCCCCCTCCTCCTCCTTCATTATGCAGATAGGATCCCTCCTGGGTGTTTGGAAGGGGCAGGAGAGTATCACAGACTGAAAGTTTGTGTCTTCCCCAAATTCATGTGTCGAAGTTCTAATCCCCAGTCTGATGGTATTTGGGGGTGGGGCCTTTGGGAGGTGATTAAGGTTGGATTGGGTCTTGAGGATGGGGTCCTCATGATGGAATTAATGCCCTTATTTAAAAAAAGGAAGAGACACAATATCTCTCTCTTCCTCCTCCTCTCCTGCCATGTGAGGATGCAGCCAGGAGATGGCAAATGGTCTACAAACCAGGAAGAGGGCTCTCACATTTGATGAGCAAAATATACTTATTTTAAACAATTGGAGCACAGGTCTCAGAATGTCTGAATTTGAGTCCCAACCCTTGCACTTACTGACTCTGTGTTATCTTGGATAAAGTTTTTAACCTTTTGGAGCATATTTCCTCCTCTATATAGTGGGGTTAAGTGGTACCTTACAGAGTTATTGTGAATATTGAGTGAGATAATTCACTTAAAGTAAGTTCTTCTCAAAAATAATAGTATTATCGGAGGTTGATGTTATTACTCAAGGGATTTTACGTGATGTAAAAAAGACATTGTTCCTCCTCTCAAGGGTTTTATGACCAGAAAGAGCTGTCTCTTAGCTTGAGGAATGATGTTAAAAGCAGTAAGTGTGTCATACTTGGGGGCTTCATTGTCTGTACCTAATGCTAAAGCACATGTGTGTTTCCAAGTTCTTTATCGCTGTCTCCTGAGTCCTTCTATACATCATTTTCACTCAGCAGACTTTTCTGATATCAAATCTTTTTTTGTACATTGCTTTCTTTTTTCATTTGTCAATCTTAAATCTGCTTTGTTAATTTGGGAATGAAATTTTATTCTTGAGATTACTATACTCTATTCAGTTTATTAATAAAAAATGAGAAATTTAAATGCCAAGATAAATAATTATTTCAGTGTTTATATCAATAAAGTTATTTTTAATCTTTATTATATTCAAAGATAACAAATAAATATAAAAAAGAGAAAAAGGAGAATATATTGACTTTTTCTTAAAATTCTAGATCTTGGTTATAAAAAATATTGGTTATATTATTAACAAGATGTAATATTTTCTGTTAATGATGTCAAAATAAATCACTGCTGAATTTATAATTCAAAACATTTTAATGTAGCTCTTCATGTAGACATTTTTTTAAAATAAGTGGTATGTTTATTCAGCTTGTCCTATCTGAGGACATTTTAATCTCTTGCAATATGTACAGACCCTTCAGGGACAGACTCTGAGTCCAGCAGCATCAACTGAAATTTCTGATCCATGAACGAGTTATGTTAGCAATTAGCAAATGTGCTCTTTGTGTTTATTACATAAACACAAACATTTATTTGAGCCAAACTTCTTTTCTTTTTCCGGGGGATTCTATTGAGAATAACAAAGAAAAGAGTCTGGATTATTTTACATAGTATTATACCTATTGTTTCTGCATGGGTCATCTTATATTTTCTCCTAAAAATCCATGTAAAAGACGCTTTCAAATTACATTTATCTCTCAACATTAAAAAAAGAAATAATTATAGTTGTACTAAAAGAAAATGTTTTTCAGAATATGAGAAAATTCCTAACTGAAAGAAATATATCCATTGTGAGGAAGACATTGTGCTATTACTCAAGGAATTTTACATGAATGGAAATGACATTGTTTCTGTTCTCAAGGAATTTATGACCTAAAGGGAAATTGAGAAGAGATGTGACTATCACTGACACTCTAAGCTGAATTTTCCTATAGCCTTTTAATAACTAACATGACTATACTTATTTTGGCAATAGGGAAAGAGCAGGTTACTGAAAACATTGGGAAGGGCAAGTTCACCATATAAATAATAGAGTTAATATTTGTTTCAAATGTTTTAAACTCTTGGAGCATATTTCCAAGTCTCTATGCCTGCTTTCCCTGAGTCAGAAACATTACCCTCGCCTCAGGATTGAGTTTTAATTATCCAAGGTCAGTATTCCTCCCAGAGTGACCATTTCCTCCACTCCATGGATAGTCTTTAATTGCTAATTAGCTCCTTTCAGGGAGGACCAACTGTAAATATTTAAGGAATACTTATGTGTGTTTATGAGTAAGGTTGTCTAGATATTGGCTCTTTCATGGAGAAACTAAAATTGCAACAAATAGCTATGGAGTAAAATAGAATTTGTTATATTAACCTTTTTCTTTTCTTATATATAAATTAATTTTGAAAAAATGAATTGGTTGGATAAAAGTTTTGAAGACATGTTTAGAATGACATCATAGAAGAAAAGAGTGGAATATTGGAATTGACAGTTTTCTCTTGCAATCACCATTTTCCAACACTTCATCTTTGTATGAAACTCCTAGAGAAGTATTTTAGAATTGCCCCTGTTCTATGTGACTATATTTTGTTGTCAGTGTAAATACAAATAAGATTCTTTACATTTTTTCTTCCCCAATGTGTATAATTTTATGTTTTAGCAAAGATCTCTGAAACATTACTGTGAAAATGAATTTAATTAAAACTGGATTGGTATAAAGAAGCAGTGTTTTGGAAATCCCAGAATCATTGTATGCTGGGATTTATTTTGTTCTTAATCCTTCTACTTAACATTGGTTTTCAAAAAATAAATGGTATAGGAATATTCATTCTCCATTCCCCTTCCCTCAAACTTTACTGAGATATAATTAAGCTAGAACATTATATAAGTTTAAGGGACATATACACTTATATATTGCAATATGATTACCACTATTGCATTAGCTAACACTTCTATTACATCACATATTAATTACCATATTTTTTTGTAATGAGAACATTGAAGATTTACTCTCTTAGCAATTTTCAAGTATATAATAAGTACTGTTAACTATAACCATGAAACTTTTTATTAGATCCCCAGGACTTACTCATCTTCTAACTGCAAGTTTGTACCTTTGACCAACATCTACCTAGTTCTTTTACCTACCAACTCTTGGTGACCTCCATTTTACTCTCTGCTAATGAGTTTGATTTCTTTAGTATCCACATATACGTGACTCATTTCACTTAGCATTATGCCTTCATGGTCCATTCATGTTGTCCCAAATGGAAGGATTTTCTTCTTTTTCATGTCTGAGTAATATTCCATTGCATATATATAACCACATCTTCATATTCATTTATCCATCAATGGACTCTCAGGTTGTTTCTATACTTTGACTATTGTGAATATTGCTACAATTAACAAGGAGTGTAGATATCTCTTTGAGATCCTGGTTTCATTTCCTTTGGCTATATATTCCCAGAGTAGGGTTATTAAATCATATGGGAGTTCTGTTTTTACTTTTTTGAGGAAACTCCACACTGTTTTCCGTAGTGGCCATACCAATTTACATTCCCATCAACAGCACGTAAGGGTTGAAAAGAAATGTTCTTTTCAGATGAACTCTTTGCTGGTCTTGAATAGATTGTCTTCCAGGTATTTGTTTCATTTTCTGTCCTTGGTAGGACATTAGCAACGAAGACAGTAAATTGCCTTTGCCTCTACCTTATGGGAATCTCAAACCTAGA